CCTTGGCAACTTTATGATGTGTGGACTTCAACTCCCAGAATTCTCCAGCTAGTGTTGCTAGCTGGAGAATTTTGGGAGTTGAAGTCTACACATCGTAAAGTTGCCAAGATTGAGAAACACTGGTCTAGGGAAACTAAAGTCATACAGGGTAATATTACCTTTATTATAAATCTACAGGTCCAAATGTACTTACCCCCTCCTTCCCTTTATCTGAAATATATTCTTAGATTACAATTTTGCCCCAGACTCAGGTTTATCTGACTGTTACCTTGGTAGTGGTCTTCTTCCTGTTATACCCTCTTTCTGCTATTTTGAATGAAGGCTGCAATGTAATGATTTTGTTTTGTATGCCCTGGCTGCTTGAGAAAGAGCTGTTGCAACCACACAAATTGCAACTGTGCAAATTCTCATCTGGTAGAGGTATTAGTTTGTGCTGTCTTGTTGCCCTTTGCAATTTCCCTGAGTTGCAGGGAATCTTAGTGTGAAGACAACCAAGCGCAGGGACAGTTGCACACAATACCTCTGAATACATTCCATGGTTTTTTTTTAAATTTTATATTAGTTTCATTTTGCATATGTTGCATTGTAATGGTTACGCTGATCTATGGCCATAATAAATATTTGATTAATTTGAAGTGAAGTTGGGAATCCTTCCTTTCATCAAACATACCATTTGTTTAATGCCCATAGGACAGCTTCCTACTAGGAGTGGGTGTCTGTGACATGGAAATGATATTGAAGTTGATTACCACTACCCAGTTTTGTGTTCAATCAACCTTCAAAATGGTTCATTTCAAAAGATAAAACATCTAAAGGATGTATTCTGCTACACCTCAAATTGGATATAGTTCTCAGCATCACACCATTCTCTAAAGGAGATACAAGGCCTTAAAAACTAAACCATTCCAATTTATTATCGGTTTTGTATGAGAGTATAATCTGCAAATACATATATAAGAATTAAAATCAAAGCTCTGATGTAGTAGATTTCCCTTTTGGGCAAACCCAAATTATGAGGGGTCCTTTGTGCTCTCTGAGCTTGCTTGTTTTCTTGTGGATGTTTCATTACCCAAATTAGGTAACATCATCAGTGCTAGTAAGGAATGCTGTTTGCTGTCAGTTTATACTCTGGTATCTTGCTTGTCATACAACCCAAATCATAAACTCACATATCCAGGAAACAGTCATGGATATGAGGGAAGAAGAGCTTGTCCTGCTCTTTGTATACATATGTCACCACACTCAGTGTTATGTAACAGTTTTGGGTAAAATGAGGACAAGTTCATCTGATGGCTACTTGGACATCATCCCATTGCTGTTGGGTTTTGGGTTTTTTTGAAACAATACAAAAATTGTTTACCATTGTCTTTTTCTGGGATAATTTTTAGCCTCTTAGTCTAGTATCTTAAGGATTTCTTGCTGGCTTCCTACTGAATTCCTAATCAATTCTAACCATACTTGTATTTTTCAGGATAAGCCAGTGTTGGCCATGTGTTCAGATGTTTGGGGTCTTGGCCAAAATTGGTTGAAACAAATAAGAAATCCTGAAACCCACACAATACTCTGGGCAACCTTGATATCACACCAGACATCTCCAGGAGACTCTAGCTGATGTGATGGAAAAAGGGTTTTATATAAGTAGGACTTTGCCGCTTATAGCAGTATGGGCCTTAAACTAGGTAAGAATAGCCAAAATAGGAATTTTTGAAAAACCAAATAAACAAGAAAAAAGGCACACATTCTCATTTAACAACTAATTGATTTATTTAACAATACAAATTTCTTTCTGCTGCTTGGTGTAAGCAGAGAAAAGCTGAGAAACAAAATTAAGTTCTTTTTAAGTTTAAATGTGTACACAACCCCGTCCTCCCCCCAACTTCTTACTTCAGTAAATATAAAATTTACAGACAGAAAAAAGCAACATGAAAAGGAACAAGGTGTTGACAAACTGATGACAGGAAGGAAATTTTAGAATTACTAATATAATCTTAGTAAAGAAAGTTAACAGGGGCAATATTGAGAAGGCATCCCGTTTATATTTCAAATTTTCTGCAGTCTGAAACTTTAGTGCATTAAAAAAACAAGACCATGATGTTAATTAATTATACTATATATTTTATGATATAAATATTTGAAAGTGTTGCAGGGTCCACATCTAGTATGTGAAATATACATTTTGCCATTTTTGGTAAATTTATGGGACGTGCAATATACCAGTGCATTTTATCTTTTCACTAGGAACCAGCAAGATCTAGTTTCTCCCTGTGGTCCACTTGCCCGGTAACTGTCATATATTCTTGTCCTAATTTATAAGACAAATGTACCAAATTCACATGCCCCATAAACTTCACTTATTTCACTGGGAATTGTGAACATCTCCTGAAATTAATGAAAGATGACTAACAAACATGCCCTATGTACGATATCCTAATATTTTCTCATGTATGCCTTCTGTTCTCTCTTTACAAGACTAGCTGTAGGAATTGTTTTCATGGAAGAAATGCTAAAGATGAATTCAGTTTATATTGTAGAGATCAGTTGGGAATCTTGACTGAACACTTCTCTATGCCTCCTCACACAAGAGGGCCCAGGAATCAAGAATGTTGACAATAAAGCAAGGTTAGAATGTTTTCTTTTGTTGAAATTTCTGGTGGAAGCACCTGTTTTGGGAATGGGGCAGAGGATAGAGTAGCCTCTCTTTAAATTTATGACAGGACAGCCCCAAAATACTGTTGACACCTCTGTGAGAACTAGCTTATAATATGGGTTAAACAGATTGCCTTTATCAATTGCCTACTAAGAAGATTGCTGCACTGAACAGGCATTTTGTTTTTTGGGGGGGATCTGAATGAGGTCCTGAGTTGTTAATAAACCCTTAAAATTCCAAGTGAAAATGACATTTAGGTAGGAGATAAATAGGATAATTTGTCGTTTGAGTTTTTATTGCAGAGCTTGCAGGTATGGTCTCAAATGATATTGCTCTAGGCGTCATATTCTGAGGCCATGGGTCTTACAGATGAACCTCAAACACCTTGAAGCCTCTATAATTTGTTAATACTCTGCATGATAAAAATGTTGAACTCCAGCCAGAAATATATAAAAAGTACATAACTGCCTGATAGAAGTGCTTCAATAGCACCCTCCACCCGCCCCCAATGGACAATAGTTGAGTTTGAACCTGGAAGCCTGAAACATAAATAGTAAGAAGTATCTGTCACATAAACACAAATCATCTTTCTGGATGACTGGTTTGCACTGTTTGATGTTCTGACTACATAAACAAAGGCCTATGGTGGTCATGCAATGGGAAAAGGAATGTTAGTATTTTAACATGTGCTGCTGTGGACTAAGCTATCCACGTGATGCACACAATAGGACAGTCTATCAACCTGGGCAGTGAGCAGATTGTGTTGGAGATCCCATTCTTTTGCAGGGAAAAATGTGGAGAAAGGCCTACCTCATATTTTGTGTTGAGAGTTACCAATAAGTTAAACCTCTCAGCTGTGTTTTCCTTTAAAAAAATTCTTTACTTCTAAGTCAATATTTATTTATATTCTGCTGAACTCGTCAAGAAAACGCTCCCTTGAAGTTTTATGACACTGTTTATGACACATAGAGAAGTGAATAAGGAAATCATGCAATTGTATTGCTTTGGAAGACAGGTTTAACATAATTCAGAAGCACCGGAGCAGTGGATATTTTCTACAAATTGGAAAAAATTGTCAAGAACCAAAATCCTCAAAATTTTGAAATTATAAAAATGACCTAATTATGCTAAATTATAAAAGTAGGTGGGAGATTATGTGAAATCCAATCAAATTTTGGTAATTTGCTCCTTCATCCTGGAGAATCCATAAAATAACAAGATTCCCCTGCCCGCCATCAACTATACTCAGAATGGCCTTATCAGCTATACACTCACTGGTCAAAAAATCAACTGACTAATTAAGAATAAACCGTCACTGGAGCACATGTCATGTTTCCATCAGCTCCTTGGTATCCAACAAAGAGAATTGTACAGTATCACAATTCTTAACATCTTCAGGTTTTCAGGTTCTAATCAGATGAAGAAGCGCGGAAAGTTTGTTTCAAGCAATTGGAGCTAAACAGCTTATCAGGTTGTTACAAGTCAACAGTTTGCTACACTTGGCAAATTGTGGTCAGTGTTATTTGCCCACTGTGTCAAAGCTTTTTGTGCTGCAGTGGAAAACAATTAAGCATCAGGTGCAGCCCAACAATACTATTCCTTCCTTCAAGGAAAAAAAAACGGGAGTCTATCTAAATTACGAGATTAAATTTGTTGCCTAAGTTGTGTTTTATTTGTTGACAAATATTGGTTCAGGAGATTGCAGAAGAGACTGCAAGACTAGTGACTTAATATTGCCTATCACTGTGGTCCTAAAGGACATTGTATTCCCCGCCCCAAACTATAATACCAACTATTGACATTGTGGCTGGACCTCATGACTACCAGGAATGAAGTGAGGGAGGACAAGGTCAATGGAGTTTCTTCCTTCGTCCTAATTCTGGTTTGCTCTCATCACATCCTTGCACTTTAACATTCTATAGATTTAGTGGAAATATTCCTTTCTGCCTGAGAACAGATGTTCACAGCTGTGATGAATGATATTAACATGAATTTTACAGGAGTGATGATGATCCTCATCAACACTACCACCACCACATTGGTTAGTATTTCAAGGCAGCGATAGGGAGGAAAGGAGAAATAGTGATGGAAGGTATCATCCTTTTAAAGTCTTAAGACGCTACTGTTCTAGCTTATCTGTTTGTACGCGTCTGTGACTATAAATGCAAGATTTAGCACTGTGAAGTTTTGCCTTAAGAAACATTGGTAGAGGCAAACTACAAGTATCATAATCTTCCAGGCCTTCTGAGTGGGGCCTTCTTGCCTTACGTTACTTTTCCACAAGGATCTGTATATAAACAGTCCTACTGGCTCTACCCACATTTTAATTTCAAATATGAAAACAGAGAAGCTCTTCCTTGGGGAACATGTTTATTGTGTTTGAGATGATACACTGGATGCTCTCTGAGCTACAAGGTGGGTGGCGATGAGAGGGGACAAGGATAAAAGAAATCCTTTTCATTACAAACTGACAAAGGTAAAAGTTTTAAACATTTTTCACAACAGCATGTACCACATATCGGAAATAGATCTGGGCTTAATACAAATGACGTAATTCCTAGTAATCTACAGCTACCTTTAATAACTTCATACAGATAATGAATTAGGCTAAAATGCACTATTATATTTGGTTGACTTCAGGAACAGTATCCTTAGTTACATCACAAAATACATTTTGATATCCCAAAGAAGCAAGACTTGCAAGTAGGCATTTTAAACATAACTAATCTACAGCTACAAAGTTCTACTCTTGATAGCATTTACCTTTTGGGGAGGTGGTTGGGGTAGGGGGAAGAGGGAGAGAAAGCAGTATTCCAATCTTCAAAAGGATAAAAGCAGAGAGTAGAATCAGTATAACATATACACAGAAGTCCGTATTGTAAAGGCTATAAAGTTTGGTTGCACACTGCAAAGCTGCATCCCCGCACCTTCACACTGCGCCAAGTAGTCAACATCACTTATGTTGCGTATCTCTTGGTCCACTGTCTGGCTATCCTGTCATGTTCTGCTCTGTTGGTCAGGTACTGAGTGGCTATGCTTCCCACCAGAGGATCAGCTGCAAGAATTCGGCAAGGGACAAGAGGAGAGAGAGAAAGAAAGAAAGGAAGGAAGGAAGAAAGAAAGAAAGAAAGAAAGAAAGGGAGAGGACACATTAGTAGTCCTGCCCTGATAAGCAACGTGAGGAGCAAAGTTTCAACAATTCATTTCACACATTTAATAATTAAGACAGGGAAAAAGCACTCAACGCCAGTACCACTTACCGACTCATAATTAATTAATCGATTCAAATGTATGAGGCCACCCAACCCACAACTCTGGACAGTACACAAATTAAAAACACAACCCCCCAAACAGTAAGTTAAAAGCAAAATGACTATGACCGGTGGAAATCAATAAACACATTTAACAGAGTCCCATCCAAGTGGTCATTATACCCCATGTAAGCCAGAGCATGGATAAAAATCAGGTTTTCAAAAGCTAGTTTATAGGCTAGCAGGATTGAACCATCCAAAGCTCTGGGAAGATGCCATTCTAGAAGGCGGGCGCTGAGAAAGGGAAGGAATGCCTTTTACATCCTGTCAGAAGAAACTGCTTAATAGACTGGACCCAAAGCACGCTTTTTTTGAGGGGGGCACTTCTTATAGGATTAGCAGAAACAAAGGGAGAAATGAAGTCCCTCAGACAACTGGGATCTATAACATGAAGGGCTTTTTAGGTGACAACCAATCTTATTCGTAGAACACTACAAACGGCAGCCTTAGATATACGGGATTAGTGAATTGTGGTATCTCAGTCCCAAAAAAGGCAATTTGGATTCAGAATCTGCATAACAGGATTTCCCCACCCTTCCATCGTGCGTCAGGTGCATCGTGATGAGCAGTGGTGGCAATGGAAGCGTTAAGAAGTGGTGTTGTGGGGCCTTCTCTCTCCAGGGCTGGTTCCAGTGGATGAGGAGGAGGTGAAGAGATCTACCCCTTCTTTGTGGGGTCCTGCAGGGCTCTGTACTTCCCCCTCCTACTTAGCATCTATATGAAGCTGTACTGTTCTTAGCCATTCAGCTGTGGTAATTTCCTGGGTGAACTACTGCAAGGAACTATCCTTGAAGCTACAACTGGTCCACAATTCATCAGTGTGAGCAGTTATGGGAGTACCTTGCTAGATTATTACCCATTTACACCAGCTTTGTGGGCTGCTCTGGCTCCTAATGCACATCTAGATGCAACTCAATGCACTGTTTGTCATGTATAAAAGTCTACATGTGCGGGACTGGCTCTCTCTAGGCTGACTCATTCCCCTAGATCTAGCAGGGTGGATGTGCTTTGGGTCCCGCCTATTAAGCCTCGATACCACGGAGATTTGTGGAGCCTCAACCCTGCTGGTTTTTTCAGAAGTTGCTAAAGACTTGGATGTTCCTTTGGGAATGGGGTTTGGAGATTAGCTGAGCCCATCATTGCAAGTTTGTCTTTCTTATAATCAGAGCCCAGTTTGTCTTCAGCTGCCATTATTTTTTCCTAATTTTGATTATGTTCTGTTTCATGTGCTTCTAACCCTATGTGTGCTGCCCAGAGCTGCAATTGAGAGATGGGTAGCAATAGAAATTGATACAATAAATAAACAAATGAAAAATAGACTGGTAGCAGCTTGTATTAGCCGAGGCACAAATAGCAGGCCAGGACTTCTAGCAGAGTCTTTTGTTTCTCATAAGAGACTGGCACACTGGAACGGGCTACAAAAGCATAATGTGGCACAATCCAAGACACCATGTACTATTGATGGTCAGGAAGTACATGGAAACTTAACTTAGCCAGTTTGTCTTTTATGTTTGTGGAACCATGAGTCTATTCTACTACTTGAATCAATCTAAAATGGTATCTCTTGAGTTGGTGCTGCTACTCATTGGAAGACACTAGAAGACTTTCAACCTTCAGAAAAAAAACTTAATTATGGTCCTAAAACAGCTGGAGAAAATCAGTCTGGGGAAGTTCATGTATCATAGCCTTTTTATTGCAAAGCACAGGAGGCATTTATAGGTTGGAAGATAATTAGAAGAAAAAGAGATTTTTATTCAGAAGCTGTTCTATACATGCAAGCAAAATAAAACCCTTTTCAATGTGGATTTATCTCACAGTTTTATAGAGATCATACAATTGCCAGTTTATGCTCTTTTCAGACAGGGCAAAAATGGAAGTTTTTTGTTGACAAAAGTGAGGGAGCTGCTTCATCTGGCTCTGCTTGTTCCAGAATTAATAATGCTTATTTTCATTAAATGGGGGAGGGGGGGAATGAAAGAGAAGGATCGCCTTACCAGGATTGCAGTCTGTCAAGAGGGAGCAAATAGACAGCAAAACCTTTGAAATAGTCAAAGCAGGACTCCAGTTGTCTTTCAGGATATCCAGACAGATGACTCCCTGACTGTTGATGTTGCAGTGATAGATTCTAGTACGGAAAGTAACCTACGGGTAGAAGAGCAACAGAAGGGGAGGGAGACAAGATCATTACACGCTTTTCAGGCATAGTTTGTTGCTAGCCTTTTGAAACCTGTCTTGAATGATTCTCCCTCAGTGGGAAAAAATTTCTGTCGAGACCTTTCATTTTTGAAAAAAAAAAAATGTTTGTTTCTGATGTTTGTTTATGCCTCATCTGAAAAGAGGTCCCTCTCTTCTTTTGTAAGCAGCTGCCTTATTCACAATTGCTATAACCTGTATGTCTCAAAGCTAAAAGCTTTATTGAGGGTTTTTTTTCGTTGTTGTTTTGACAAGCCTGCAGCATTTTGGATGCTTTTTTTAAAAAAAAAAACAACAACAACAGATGACACATACAAACATTTGCATGCCCTTGAGAAATAGCAGTTTCATCAGTTTCCTTGGGGGAAGACAAGTGACATTGCAAGTCCCAAGACTTGTGTACTTGCATACCAAGTTGGAATGCAAGTACAAAAGGGCAGAGTTTGTATCAGGACGTCACCACAATTCTGCTGTCACACTTTAAAGAAGCCTAATGAACTATTTCTGTGTGCATGTGGAAAATGGCACTTAAGATACCCAGCTTTCATTTAAAACTGCTGAAATGTGAGATTCACAGTGAGACACTAGTTTTTTTCACTAGTTATGATGCCCAAACTAGATGACGCTAGTTTGAGAAATCTGAAGAGCATCCTCTGGAACATGAAAGCCATCATGATATAGATGCTATGATTCCCCTCAACCAACCTTGGCTCATCTATATGCAACCTGACAGCTTTGAACAATAAGATCACCTCTCCAACTGTTGGCATTTATTTAGATGAGTTTTCCAACACAGTATGAATATGCTCATAGAGCATGTTGGTACATTTTGAATATTGTATAAGCAATCTTCAAAGGTATCAGTTTCCACAGAAAACTAAATCTGACTCAGGTTGCTTTCCTGAGGCTACTAACACTCATAAATGTAGACTACTTATTCTGTCTGGTTAGTATACTCTACATAGATCACATCAAGATGATCTCACTTTCAATCTCTGACACTTTCATTTAACTTATCTTGGTGAGGGTGAAAGCCTTCTCTGGTGACAGTGAGCAGCAAGATCTAGATCAGGGGTGTCAAACTGCCAGCCCGCGGATGCATCATAGTGAAACTGCGCCCACCCCATTGCCGGCAATGGCAAAAAAGTCATGATATGTTGCAACATGTCATGTGACGTTGCGAGTTTGACACCCCTGATCTAGATGTATTAAAGGCTGGCTCTGTTAAATAGGAACTTATATTTCAATAGAATGTGTATGGCTGAACTTTGTTACACTTATGTTTTGAACCATATAATGTGGTAGCTTCGAGAAATATAGTTCTGAGCTATAGGAGAATAAAACTTGGAACAGACCCCTTCCTCTTAGCTAAACTTTTTATATGATTTAGCTTAGCGTGGCTCCTAGCTTCTGGTTTCTTTTAAGTGAGAAGGCCTCTGCTGAACCTGAATCAGGAAACTCTGATGTAATGTCATTCAATAATCAAGGACACTAGGATCTGACTTAATATAAACTAGAAATTAAGCACTAAAATGATGTGCAAGAAAGGGAGGAGAAAGAGGAAGCAATCCACCCTAATACTTTTTCCATTAAATTATGTGGTTTTGGATGGAATCCGCAGTGCAGTCAGTTTTGTATCATATGCAAAACTGATGCATGTTCAGATTCCCTTCATGTCATGAATAAACCCTTGAAGAATAGAGGACCAACTAAGCCTTGTGGCACTCTTGGTGATCCCTTCTTTACAAAGAATAAGCTCCAGGGCATCTCTAGGTCTGCCCTATTTCCAGATGTTTCAAGGAACCTACAAGAGGGAAATAACATTGCCAAGATGACTGTGCACTGGAGCCTTTTACAGATTTATGCCAAATGACAAGCCTTTGTGAAATTGACAGGAGAATGCATATTGGGATAATAGTACCGAAATTTGTGTGACTTTCCCACCACTTTTCTTCATCTTTTTTTAATGAAAAAAAAGAGGGAATAAACCTTAATTTTGGGGGGCATGACTAGAATAACTCTTTTGATCCTATCCAGAATATAATACTTGTTAGACAAGAGAAGAAACAGAGAAAGAAGAGATTGGGAGTGGGTCTTAGTTTCTTGATTTCTGTTGTGGGCATACAACAGATTAACCAACTTGGTGAACCTAACATTTGGTCTACTTATTCAACAGCAGAATGTGAATCTTCCTCATCAAACATCTGCCGCACAGCTGCAATCTTTAAACAAACATTTATACTGGCATTAAACATCTATATTATATCAGTAAGCATGGGAAATCTTAGCTTATGCTTCTGACAATGTTAAAAGCTACTAGAGATTTGACATGCCTTTTTTTAAAAAAAAAATCAGAAAGCAGGATTGAAACAAATCAAACAAGGGCTCTACAGACTTTTTTTTTTTTAAAAAATTACAATTGATTCTATTGCTGATTCTACTTGCACTTTCACTAAATGCCACATTCCACTCAATATGGCAACTTTGAGGCATTTTAAGTTCATTTGCACTGATATTATTGCTCAGAGCACTTGAGATCAATATCAATCAAAGTGCTAATGAAATGTGGTCAACTATTTTATATTAAATATCCCTTTTAGTTAAATTTCCAATGATTTCAGGCCTTTTTCCAGGCATTATCTCCTCTATACAGGTGCATTCCTCATGCTGAAAATAAAAGTGTGAGACTGAGGAAAGCCTGCCCCATTTTAAGATCCAAAGAAAGAGGGAGCAAGAACATAGGTCCATGGCTCTGCCTGATTTTTCCCACTATCCCAAAAACATATCATGTTTAAATATTGAATTATATTAAGATTTTATACATCTCTGCTTCTAGTTTTCTCTTTTTTGGGAAATGCGTATATAGTGGTTGTACTTGTTTATCAATGTTCTTTGGTTTCTGGATTTACATTTCAGCTAGCGTGGACAAGTAACATATCTTTTCCTGATCTTTTTTTTTAAAAAAACAATCATTCCCCACTCCCGGCCAATAGGAAAAAGTGGTGAAAATCTTCCCCATTCCCAGCCAATAGGAAAAGGGCAAATCCTACTGCCTCCAATAAATGCATCACGTCATTGTCAGACAGTATTGTACTACAGCATATGACTTGGCTGAATGTTACAATCATGTTCATTTTTAATATAATAAAGATCATCTTTCAATATGATCAAAATCAGAAAAAATCCACGTTTTTCACTATAGCACTTGTACAAGATTTAAATGGTGGATTGTAAACAACTGTTGGGTATAGGGTATATTTATGTTTCAGTAGACTTTGAAATAATTAGGAAACGAGTGCTTATCACAGGAAAAGACCACAAGTTGAAATGTTTGATAATTAAAGAAGCATTGTATCTGATATGTTATTAGATTAAAAAAAATTACAACTTTTGAGAAAGTATTTATCAAATTATACACTATCAAGCAAACCAGGGCTTCAATACTTCTGTTTTTCATTTTAGGTACTAAGATTACACACTTCTATTGGTTTATTGAAATAAATCTGATTTCCAGCAATGTGGGCAAGTTTATCTTCTTAGGACAACCATATCCTGCTTTAAAAGATTTGGGCAAAAAAGCAATATAGTGTTGCAAAAACTATCCTGTCTCCCTGGCATCTTGCTAGTTCAGAGGAATAAGAAGACTGGAAAGAGTATAAGTGAAAATGTAAAATCAGAATAAAAGAAGGATGGCATCAGAAAGGCTGAAATTGTTGTTTCTTCTACTTTTCTCAGTGGTCTCATTTATTTAGCACCATCTCTACTATAGCAGATACTCCTTAATAAACAGTCCAAAATATTGTAGCTCTTCAGAGTGAAAACAATATAATATAAGGCCATATGTGAAGAAAAGTGACCTGTACCTACAAAGAAAGTTATAGAATGTTACCTGGTACTGTTACTACCAAGAGTAATTTGATGCGACTACTATATCTGAGTACTTTGAGCAATGAGGCATTATACTCATTTTATCAGAATAGAACAATTCAACAGGATATTTTATGACCTCTTGGAATGTTTTTCCGCATGGATGCAAAAGTAACGGGAATTACGCCCTCCAAATTCTATTCTTCTGTCCAACAGGTAGCACAGAAAAATGGGGTCTGGAATAATATTCTCAGAAAATGCCCAACTCTGAAAGCCTCCAGTGAATACTGCAACACTGTGAAAGCAAGTTAATGTGAGCCCTTTTGTCTGGTCTCAAAGTCCCAGTTTGCTAGGGATCCTGTGCTATGCACCATGTTGGAAATGCTTCTTGCAGTTGTTGCTTTTCTTGAATGAAAATGGAAGACAAGTGAAAATATATGCAAAGATACAGAGACTGCATAACCTTACCTTTGGTGGTTTAAACGGATAATCAGATGAAAATGTGATATCCAGAAAAAATACGCCACCTTCGTATACAGAACCTGGGGGACCTAGGATAGTAGATCTCCATTCGTAGATGTTATCACCTTTAGGCCCAGCACTATTAAAATAAGCAAGAGAGAGAAAGAGAGAGAGAAAATGAACTGTATGACCTTTTACTATCGTTATTCTTGTGAATGGCCTCTGTTGTTTATATATGTCTTGGTGCTTCTTGGTGTGAAGAAGCTATCTATTATCACTTGTGCTTCTGTCAATATATTCAATACAAGGCTCGTTTTTGTCTTTTTAAACAGTTAATTGTGTAGTCTTTTGTTTGTTGGTCTCTGTGGGCACATGGGCCATATATAAAACTGCCTTAAAGCACAAAGGCTACATAATTCAAGGCATATGAAGAGCATCATCTATCTCCCATATTTATAGCCTATTTTTTTGTACAAGGAATTCAGGATGGCGTATACAGGATTACCTATATTTATTTTTGCAAACTCATGAAATAGATCAGCATAACATACGGTACCAAGTAAGCTTCTTAGAGGAGTGAGGATCTAAACCAAAGTCTCTCCAGCATTATTCCAACAATATATTATGCTGTGTATAGAGTGAAGCTTTTTCAGTAAATTTATATAAGGAATTTTAGTTTGTTTGTTTTTTAAAAAGTTAAGCTTTTATTGTCACTTTCATATACTGCTGGCAGTAATAACTATATAATCCTAAAGTTCCTGGGCAACCATTCCCTGGTCTAAGATAAATAAATGGAATGACCTATGATAAGGTAACCTCTATTTCTTCATCCAATACACTTACAGTTTTACATGCAATCAGTTGCAAGTAATTTTCTGGTCTCCTACTACTTAGTGTTCCCCAATTCACAACCATTTTCTTTTCTATTAGTCTAATATAATTACCTATTATGCCTAGGTCTTCTGAACTGCAATCCCACATATCTGGAGGCCCATCAAACTGAGGAAGACTACATGTATTTCCCAAAGCTCTTAAAAGTTGTTCACTCATTTCCTGAGAAATGTTGACGTCTGAAATTTGCCAGTTCACAAAATGTCTCGTACTCTGCCAACTTTGCCAAAGATTTTTATTTTTGAAAATATAGACTGACAAGCCATTTTGGTGTCCAATATTTATACTCCAGCTAGTCCAGAATGCGGCTGCGCGGGGGATTTTGGGGGCCTCTAGATGTTCTCATGTAACACCTCTCCTGCGCGAGCTGCACTGGCTGCCGGTGGCCTTCTGGGTGCGCTTCAAGGTGTTAGTAACAACTTTTAAAGTGCTCCATGGCAATGGACCTAGGTATTTGCAAGACCGCCTCCTACCAAATATCTCCCTTCGACCAGTCCGCTCCCACAGAGAGGGCCTCCTTAGGGTACCGTCGGCCAGCCAATGCCGGCTGGCGACCCCCAGGGGGAGAGCCTTCTCTGTGGCAGCTCCTGCCCTCTGGAATGACCTGCCCCCCGACCTATGTACAATTGCGGACCTGCGCCTCTTCCGCCGAGCCCTGAAAACTCATCTGTTCCATGCGGCCGGCCTGGCGTAGTTTTGATTGGGTTTTGTTAGGGGTTTTATATTTTAGAGCAGGCTTTTATGTAATATTTACTGTGATTTTTATTATTGCCTGTTCACCGCCCTGAGTCTCGTAAGGGAGATAGGGCGGTATATAAATTTAAATAATAATAATAATAATAATAATAATAATAATAATAATAATACTGTTCCTCACATACTCATGTAAGAAGGGATGGAGTGGGATAAGGAAATATTAGAAAAAAAACAGAGGTGATGGTACCATTGCTGAAATAAACTTCCTCTTCAAAGGCCAGTTTAGACAGAAGAATTAAGGTTTATGATTGTGAAGGAACTGAAAAGACTACAAATACAATTTCAGAGCTTCTGCCCCTTTATAAAACCATAATGTCTTATTTATCTTCATTCCTTCCTATTCTATACTTCTCAGAAAGAATTTCTGACAAACAATTCACAAAAACCCCCAACTTTCTTAAAAAGAAGTACAATTCAAATACAAATCTTGAATGGAAATATCAAAAGGCATCTTTGTTGTCATTATTTAAAATACAGAACTACATCCACTTGCAAGCTTGGGAAGTTCTCCTTGCTCTCTTATCCCCGTGTAACTTCTACCCAACCTTCAATCTGCTCTACAAAAGAATTGGGGGAAACAGCACAGGGGTGCAAGATACAAAAGTTTTTTTCCCTTCTGGAGGTGACCAAATTGAATACAACTGGGAAGTAGAAAAAACAGTCTGGAGAAAGATAATGGAAATTTGTTTCCTTATCAGAGCAAGAAAATTGCATGGATATGTCTATGTAAGTCACTAGGAGCAGAGGCATCCATCATGAAGATGGGAGATATCAAGAAAGTAAAACTGGCAGTCACAACTGTGCAATTAAACCCTCATCCTAACGTGTTTGTACCTGCAACATGTATAAAAAGGGGTGGGGCTTTGCACAGTCATAACTGCTATCTGGGCTTTTTTTTTCTTTCTCACACACACAGACACACCCTGCACAGGTCTTTCACTGTGAGTTCAGCTCAGCTTACTTCTGGCTTCAGTTTTATATTTCTTAGTAATATTGTTTTAGACAAAAGTTGTTCAATAGAAAATGGATTTGAGTTTCTCAGATGCTAAAAGGCTATAGCTAAACTAGTTGTACATTAAGAGTAAGCCAGAGACCAAAAAAAAAAAAAAAAAGACTGGATTAGTGTGTGTGTGTGCGCGCGCACACACACACACAGCACAACACTGAAAATGGGACAAGAAGTACAGAGCTCTGCTGGGGAGAGGAGGAGATACATGTCCACAGCAATAAATTCTAAACTACAGAGTGTGTCCTTCTCTGTTGCTTTATTCTGCACCCATGATTTGACCAGTTTGAGATGGTAACAGTCTGACATATATCTGGTAATATTTCAGATTGTTAACTTTTGCCTTTTAATCAGTATTTCTTTCATAACACAAAGGATGCACACAAAGGATAGGAAAATTCTGACTGAGAAGAAGCAGTAAGGCATAAGGCTATGTAAACTGATAGCATTCACAGATCAATGCTGCTGTAGAGTTTCTTTTTCTTTTTTAAAACAGAGAGACAATACAAAAAGTGGGAGCAACAGAGAAAATATTTAAAACTCCCGCACAGGTCATCAGGTTTTTCTAATTAACTTCTGACACCCATTAAGCATATAGCTATTAATTAGCATTAGGCTTGGAAGTTAAATTTCTCTGGAACAATTCTATTTTGGCACAGGTTTCCTTAATGGCTCTTTTATAGCTTAATGCAGGGGTTTGTGCTCCTATATCATCTGTCAGTTGCCTTTCCTTCAAACACCTCTAATAGCTGGATGCAATTCAGTCAGTTTAATGAAACACAGAATTGACTTAGCAACATATTTCAGCCAAATTAATCAGTCACAATTAAGGTTACTGCCTTAAGCTGTGTGCCAAACTACCTGCTAATCACTCCAGTCAGAACAAGGGCATCTATCAATTAAATAGTCAATCATCTAAAAGCAATAACTCCTAAGTTACTGTTTACAATCATTTGCTGTAATACTATTACTGTTGCTTAACACTATAAAGGTTGCCCACTGAGAGGGAACATCTATTATAACATTTTAGGTAGTCTAGCCTTATAAGGCCAGTCTTTCCCAACTACCACTCTTCAGATATGTGGGATTGTGATTCCCATGCTAACTGGGGAATTATGGAAATTGTAGTTTGGTGTATCAGTTAAAGACTAGTCTAGGGAATGTGGATATAAAAGGCATGTTGCAAAACCCTAATTATTCTACTAGCCCCAAACAGGGACTTTTACTGACAAAAAATCCAGGAGGAACCAAAAGATAGGAAAGCGCCTCCAATGCAATAGCTTTCATTGGACCAATGTGTAATGTTTGTTTGTTTGTTTTAAATTGTAGTCCCAAGCATTCAATAGTCCATTAAAGAAAACTATGGTGAACAAACATTCTTTCAATTACCTTTGATGTATCAGACACGGAAGATTGTCTATGGTAAAAATAACAGTTAAAACTGTAAAATGTACTTTTACCTTATATTATTCAGCTACAGAGCAGTAGCAATTTTGGCTAATGTCTTTAGCCAAGGCAAGCTAATTCAGGACACTTTTGTATCGCCATCACTATATTCCGTGTTGCCTCACCAATGGCGTTATCCCTTCGTTCAATGCAAGACCAGTGCTCCAACTATTAAGCCTAAGAGCCAGGGGCTTCCACCAATGAGAGAATATCTGGCTCCCAAACTCCATGGATCGCTGGTGTTGAGGATTGAAATACGACTTCTTGCCTTTTCTATCTTGGCAAAAATGAAGCACGGAATCAGGGGAAAACAGCAATGATGTAGCACCAAATCCCTGTGGGGAATGCCATCCATTCCACCCCTATTTCTCCCACCAATGCAATGGTAGATGTTCGTTCAGGTCAAGCTTCTGAAAGTTGAATCAAAAGACAATAAATGAAAATAACTCCCCTTTAAGGTAGAAATGGACAAGATGTGGCCAATGAGAGGACCTGAAATTCAGCAAAAACTCAAAAAGCATATGTTGCCTTCCCTTGCATTAAAGCATGGCTGGCTCAGGAATTTTGGGACTTGAAGTCCACAAATCATAAAAGGGCCATAGAATCACTAGATTCTATTATATGATGATAAGGCTACCTGACAGCCATTCAGGCTGTCTATCTAGACTACCATTCTCTGCTATCACTGAAACTCAGACAGAATTCTTTCTTACCACCTTTGTATCTTTTAACTGAGATACTAGTCACTGAACTTGGAACAGTTACAGTCACATTACGTGATCCAACAAAATGCTATTACCCCTCCATTTGGTCCATGCCAATCTTATTTCACATTGGTAACATATGCCCTGATTTTTGTTCTTTGTTTCGAAAAGTACCAGTGATTCCCAAATCCATTTAAAATACCCTAATTTAAAAACCCTGCTATTATGTCATCTGAACTGATTTCATCTTCCATAAAGATTTATCTGGGAAAAACATGCTGGAATGGGAAACCAGAGTGAGCCTATCACTTCAGTGTAAACAGAATTGGAGAAATGGGAAAAAAATATGGGAAATAAACATAAAATTGACTATGTCAGCGGCATTCAAGGAAAACCAGTTGAAGATGTTTTACAGATGGCATCTTCTACCAGCAAAGCTTGCCAAGATGTTCCAGAACATTTCGCCAACATGTTGGAAATGTAAAAAATCACATGGAACATATTATCATTTATGGTGGACATGCCCAGTTGCAAAAAAATACTGGACTAAAATAAGAAGGTGGATCAAAGAAATAATAGACCAACCCGTAGACTGGAAACCAGAGATCTTTTTGCTGGGTATTTTAAACAGAAAATATAGTAAAGAAATACGGTATTTAATTCTACATATAATAACGGCAGCAAGAATAGCATATGCACAGTTCTGGAAAAATGAGAATATACCATCAGAGGAAGAAGTGATAAGGAAAATCCTGGACTGTGCTGAGATGGACAAATTAATAAAAGAGATAAAAGAAAAGGAAGACACAGAGTATTATCTAATATGGAATAAGTGTGGAAAGGTCAAAAGTGGAAAATGTGTGTATAATAATGTATAGTAAAAATAATATGTATTATTTTTAGTATGAAGTATAGTATGAAGGAAGAAAAATGCAAACAAGAAACAACGGGACAACAAGGACAAATATATCTAAACAAGAATAAGGGGGGAAATGTAAATAATAGATTACTGTTACAAAATTGCTGTTAAAAAAAAAAGAGGAGCACACACTGTGTGTGTATGTGTGTTATGTTTTGTTTTGTCTTGTTTTGTTGGTTTAAAAAATAAAAAAAATCTTAAAAAAAGATGAATGGTATCCAGAAAAATCACTTTCTTTTCTACAAGACCAAGTGCAATTTGAGCTCTGACACTTGGCCTTGTACCTTTTTAAAACCTTGTTTAGACAGATAGCAATGTAGTTTATAAACATGAGCTGAGACACTCTGGTTTTGGTTAACAGTTTTAAAAATATATCTATCCACAACACCTCTCTGCCTCCTTTCTTTTCCATCTCAGTTTTCAATCTTTCTCAGCCTTACAGGCCATAATTTCCCCTCACTTTTAGTTCAGGAGACACATGAGGGAAATCTCACAGCAGTGATGGCAGATAGTTCAAATCAAAGGGAAAGCCCACGTGCTCAAGAGTATGTTTTTCTCCATCAGAAAATATTTATTTTCATATCACCTTTATTAATTTTTAATATATAATTCAAGATGGTGAACACTCCTAATATTCCTTCCCCCTCTTTTTTCCCCCCTCACAACAATCGTCCTGTGAGATAGACTGGGCCAAAAGAGAGAGACTATATAGTGACTGGTCACCTAGCCAGCTTTCATGCCTAAGGCGGAGCTATAACTCACAATCTCCTGGTTTCTAGCCTTAACCACTATACCTAACTGATTCTCAGTGATGTTCCTTAGTTTATGCATACTGGAAAGGCAAAGCTGGCAGAGATCATCATGGAAGGAGACAATGGACGTGGTGATAAATATTCTCCCTTCCACAACCCAGAAATATTGGGAAGGAGAATAAATTAATGGAGCTACTGTCTCAATCTTCTCTGCTGGACAGTGTTGATGCCATTTTCCTTGAGGTGCCCTGAACAAAGGCTTCTGGGGAGTAGAGAGCCTTCGGCCTCCCTTTCCTTGGCTGCATACATGTATTCTGAAAATGCTTGCGTGACGATTCAGGTATCACAGAACCGGAGCAGTGCCTTGTTTCAAAGGAATTCTATGGGATAAAAACAGCAGGCATCTGAACCAACGCATCTGTGGAGACGCATCGTTAATGAAAGAGTAGCAAGAATACAGACCATGCATTCTTCAAAGCAGCATCTGAGGGATCAGTGACATTTCAGGGACCCTCTGAACTGTGGAGACTCCAGGCTACTATACCTGCTTTGGAGTAGGCCTGGGATTACTCCTAATTCACATCCTTCACATCCATCCTATCTATTTATGTATATATTTTATTTCATAGGTGATTACATATTATAACAATCTCTCTCTCTCTCGAGTTTGGCATTGTTCTATCCAGACTATTCTTCCCTCCTCTTATTTTGCCCCAGTGATTATACTTGCGTTTATTATTTGCTCACAAGACCATAATTTTACAAACACGAGCACCAAATGAAGCAGATCACAGCCCAGTGCAAAGAGAACACATCAAGCTATAGTGATTCTTAAAACAAGTTTACATCAGATCAGAGAATACCATCAGAAGATATATGAGGCCTAAACATGTTCATGATGATGAAATGTGAAATGCATGGAACAAAGAATTAAACAGCCTGTTCACAAAGCCCATTCCTTTCCTAATCCCAAGAAGCATCCAGCTATTCTGGGTCATAGCCTTGGAGCAGATCCAGGCTGTTAGGAAAAAGCTGAAGAACTTGCTTTCCCTGTTACTGGATTGTATTGGATTGAAATTCTTTAAAATAAAACTGATGGACCCCTACTTTTTTTTTTCCTGGACGAAACATGCTCAAAATGCATAATTTAGCTTGTGATCTTATATAAAGTTAAAGGCTTGCACAGAAATTGTATGAAAAAAACCCGCCCAAAGGCACAGAATGACAATAATTTGGGGATCCACAAAATAGCAGAGATTTATGTCCAAGTAATGAGGCCCCAAAAATACATAGAAATGAAACAATCCTTTGTTTATATGTTTACTATACTGTACTGCCTTCAAGGCAGTTTACCTGGTAACAAAATCAAATCAACCTTAATAAAAAAATATAAGGGCCACTTTGCAGAATCACCTTCCATCTCAATCACAAGAAATTTGTCTCCTCTTTATCTCCACTTCTGTATCTCTCCTCTTTCTCTTTTGTCTCCCAGTTTTTAATACAGTGTTTCTCAATCTCAGTAATGTTAAGATATGTGGATTTAAATACCCAGAATTTCCATGCTGGCTGGGGAATTGTGGGAATTGAAGACCACACATCTAAACGTTGTGAATAATAATGGGACATCTGGTTTCAAGTGCAACTTCCTGACAAATAAAAAGAGATATCAACAGAATGGATGAGATTTTTTTTCTCCTCACACAACTATTTCTCCTGATTATTGTTCAATCCTATTTGTACCAGACCATGTTGTAGATGGTCCTCTCTGCAGAGCCACGCTATAAAATAGGTGGCCTATTGACATACCAATCTGTGATGGAAAGTAAGGCTCGAGGCGAAGTCAACCTGTGGCACCCATGTCTTCTAGTGGCACATAATAGGAAGGTCCTATGGGTAGCTTTTCACGAAAAATGCACAGCTTCCAGCTTTTGGATCTCCATATGCATGCAAATTCTTCATATGGGAATTTGTCAAGTTAACAGTGGTGTGCAGTGGGGAATATCAAGGCATAAGCATAGGAACAAGGGGAAACAAACCAGTATGTCTTTCTTAGGAGAAAATCTGACCCAAAGTATTGACAAGTTAGAGGATTATCATAATTTTCTTCTACAGCTGATCTCTATTGTTCTTCTTTCCTTTGACCAGAACAAGTGACGTCTTACAATAGCTGTCTTCAGCCTGGCATTGTGCTGGCTTAGAACTCCAAGGATGCCCAGCCAGGATGGCTGTCGCTGTGCTGATTATTACGAGAACTGTCAGTCCAAGCCATCTGGCAGGCATCAGGTTGTGGAAAGTTAATATTCAACCTGAACCCCTCCCTTACAACCTTGGAGATGACATGGTCTGCACTCTGCTTCAATTCACATATTACACTGGCAGAGCAGTATTTGATCAACACACCAGTTCCTGGTATTACCAGATAAAACGATCAGGTAGCTGGTGATGCAAAAGTTCTTTATCACGTGTTTGCCATTCCTTGGTAAAGCAGACACCAATTATGTAGATCAGCAGCCTAAATAGTTATCAGGAAGCTGCCTATGCTCTTACAATAGTGAACAAAGGAGCAGTATTCTCAGGTGGAGCAGATGGGAAGAACAAGCTCAGATTTAGATTTTAGATTTAGATTTTATTAAATTTATACCCCGCCCTTCTCCCGGAGGACTCAGGGCGGCTTACAGCCAGTTTAAAACAATGACATAATACAATACAAACTTTAAAAAAGATTAAAAATAACTATTTAAATTTGGCCGCTTCTACTAAAAATTTAATTTAAAACCCCTTTAAAATACCCCTAGGCCAGTCCTGCCTGCTGAAATAACCAGGTCTTAAGGGCGCGGCGGAAGGAGGGGAGATCCGGGATCACCCGGATCTCTGGGGGCAGCTCGTTCCAGAGGG